CTTCCGATACCTGTGGAGGTGCAGGTAAACAGAGAAGCAGCAGCCTACGAGGGACTAACTCTGTGGGCTGCCATTTTGTTTTGTTTTTATTGCCCATCCCTAATCTGGACCATGGAGCTCTGATTCAGATCCTCAAAATTCAAGGCGGTCTGAAATCAATGTTCTGGTTTGGGCTCATCTTAGAGTAACTCCCAACCTAGTGGATATGGTGAATCCAGCTAATGTCAGCCCGGAACCCACAGTAACATGTTTGGGGATAAATTTTGGTATTCTCAAAGATGCAGGTATCCATAAAGTAAAACTAACAGCAACTCTTCATACAAAAATCCCCTCTGGGACATGATTCCATGCAAAATGACATCACAAGACTGTCAACAATTGCTGCAGTGTAAACACACAGCTAGAATTCAAAAGACTGAAGAACAAAACTTCAGAGTACATTTTTTCTCTGCAGCTGGAACTAAGAGTAAACTAAATTCTGTCTGGCTTATCAAATCTGAAAAATGTGCTTAGATAATCAGTCTTTTGGCTTGATCTTATTACTACTGAAGTCACTGGGAATTTCGCCATTGATTTCAATAGGCGCAGTTTCAAACCCTTTAGAAAAACTGTGGGGGTCCCTCTTGATCTAAAAACAGACTGATGTATAGTTAACTGAAAAAAGGGCTTGTGGTTCACGGCCCAGCCACCCTGGGTTGCTGCGGCTATTTAAAGGGTTCCCAGTCGCTGTGCTATCCTGGCAGGGGCCAGAGATACGAGCCCTTTAACTAGCCAGAGCAACCCCAGCCGGTTGCGAGGCACTTCGGTAGTGGTGGGGCCGGGAGCTGTGAGCTCTTTGCTGTGTTTTTAATTCAAAGCCTCTGGCCCAAACAATTCTGTGGGGAGGCTAATCCTCAGCCCCGCTCCTTCTGTCCCAGCCCCCACCCCTTCCAGGGGTGGAGCCGGCTCATGACCAAGTACCAAAATTCCTTACGTGGCGCCTCTGAAAAGATTATTACCCAACCCTGTTTTAATCCACTCTATTGCTTCACAAAAGGCATGAGACAATAAAAATTATGTAATACAAGCCAGAAAAATTACTAGATTTTCCTGCAGTCACACAAAGCTATTGGATCAATCTTCCCATAACAATAGGAATCCTCAGTAGTTAATTTTTCCTCCAGATCTTGGTTGTCAACTGCAGAGCTGACAACAGGATGAGGGAGAGGGAGACAATTGTCACAATAACTCAAGCTCTCAGGGAGCCCTCAAAACATCTGTAATTTCTGTGTAAATAGGGTGAAATGGGAAAGGATGGGGACTCAGGGAACATGATTTCTCTCAGCAGGCCTGACCCACTGTAAGATTTTACAAATAAGGTATTTTGTAGTTCTGCTCAGCTGGTTGGTGCAAAATCCTGGCTTGAGGGAGAATTTGCCTGAATAAACACTGAATACAAATGTAGGATTTAATCTCAAAAGTTTAAATGAACACTTTCTTTTTAAAAACCATCCTTCAGTAATTTTACCTATTTTTATTAGGGTTATTATTGTAACTGAAAGATATCAGAGCAAAACACTGTTGTTCATTTTTTTTTCCTATTGGGCAAGATTTTGATATTGGTACACTCTGAAAAGAAGCTTATTTTGTCCAAGGACATTTTTTGCAAGCAAGGAAGCTAAATCTGGTCCTCTGCATTTCACAACATTTCCTATCAATTCCCATTGTTCTTCCAGAATAGCTAGTTTCCCTATTGTTTGCATGGATCTTTCACACAGCAACAAGGGGGAAAATATTCTTAAGTAGGAAAATCTGACTGAAAAATTACAAAAATTGTCAGGGAACTCATCTGGTATACTAGGTGGAACAACTGTGTACTCTTTTTTGTTTGTTTGTTTGTTTGTTTTGAAATTGACTAGTCTTCAAATTGACATGCTATTAAAATACTGGGGGAGGGGGGACAGAAAATGTAGAGTGTGCTGTTAGCAAATATTTTGAATGTTAATGACATTTTTAGGGATGAAATAGCAACAATTTGATTTTAACTTTGCCACTTGTGAGTTATGCAGTTATCCCTCACTCATGGAGTAAAGAGGAAAATTCATTGTCCATAGATGCAGCATCTGTATATACTTAATGGTTTATAAATAAGATGGCTTGAATAAAAAGGGTGTATCAGATTAGTTAATGAGGCATCTAATCAAATAGATATATTATAACTGCAAAGTTTGGGACAGGTTAGTCAAGTTATGCTTACATAAATGTATTTTTGGAAAATAATATACTCACTTCAAGAAGTGAAGTTATACAGGAATATCCACATTTCTCAGGTGGCAGCATAGATTCAAATTTTTATATCAATCTATTAGTGTGTAAAAAATATCAACCACCCCAATGCTTACGGTTTCACAGTTTAAACATCTAGTTTCGTTAGTCAGTGTTCCCTGAAAAATCTCATGCACCCAGGTGAGTTCTTGTTTATTGTTCTCTTCGGCTTCATTCATATTGCCATTTTTTAGTTTCCCATTTTGCTTTTCCTGCTTCTTCTCCTCTTGCAGGATGTCTGCAATGGTGTTTAGCAAGTAATTTAAAAATTCATGTGCATCTTGCTGCATGTAGTTGTCAAAGAGATCTGCAAAGGAGAAAGGCAGAATTCTGTAGTTCTGTTTCTATAGTTCCCTCAATTCATGCAGGAAAGGATGGACTGAAATTCAGGTTTTGCTCCCACATATAATTACAAGCCCCAATTCAGGAACAGACACATTTTTAAGTATAACTTAAGCTTGAGAGTAATCCCAATGTTCAATGTTTGGGATGTGCTTATAGGAGGCAATGATAAACACAGGGGTGGGAGAGTCTGCTTCATTTCCCTCTTCGCAATCTACATGCCTCCGTCGAAGGAGGCATGTAGTCTAGACACACCCTAAATAGTGTAGTTTTCTCTTAGTAATTTGGTGAATGCATTGCTCCTGTAAACATTTCCCGAATCTTTGTTTCTGTCAATAAATAATGGTCCAGATGGTGCACACACATGCACGGTCATAAAGCAGAAGGAAACTCATGGGAAGCATCTCTAGCTGATGTCATATGAGATACTCCCATTTCAGATATTCCCTTGAATTTTTCCATAAACAGCTTGATTTGCTCCACCCTACTGCCTGCTGTAGAAGCAGGAACTTCTGTTCCGCAAACACATGTATTTTTATCCTCTGCAATTCCCTCCAGCCAAGACACATGTGAATCTTAGGGGGTCCATTCACAATACAGTACTGAGTGCAGTCCCTTTGCCATGGCAGTTTCAGGGGCCACGCCTACTGATAAGACTCCCATGCAGAACGGAACTGTGTTACCAAGACTGCCCTCCTCTGATTCTTCTTGAACTCGGTTGGGGGAAATCTCCCCAAATAAAGTGGACACCCCTGCCTCTTTTAGCCACAAACAGGGCCCAATGCTCAGTAGTCACCATTCCTGGGAATGATATAGTTCACTGTATGCATGCACATACTGAACCCAAGGTATTTGGGGCTAGTAGATGTGTACTGTCCCCAACTCTCCTGCGCCCACTGCATTCCCAAAGTATCCATCTTCATGGTGCTGTACAGAAAGCCACTGCAGAGCACTTCTCTGCAATATGCGGAGGCCCTCATTCCTGCCCAACTGCCTGCTGCTGGTTTTCTACATTTTTTTCTGTTTTTCCCCGTGCAGTGGAAATATCAAGAGAGCAGCTGTGCACCCACGGGAGATTTGGCACTTACTTGCAAATTCTAGTATAGTTAATGCCAACTACAATATTACACACACATGTGTACACTAAAGAATTCATATTTAGACAACAAAAAATTAAAAGTTTATTACAAATCTATCCTACTTGAACATTATGGTCAAATTGGTGTTTTTACTTTCCTAAGGCATTACGTGAGTCTCTGAAAGGAATCAGTCTGCACTCACCATTCTCCTTTCGTAACCTTGAAATGAACTTCTTTGGTGGAATCACTCCAACTTTTTTCTTCTGAGTAGCAATACTGTGAAAAAGGTCTGCCAGGCATGTCAAGAGGTTTTCCTTCTTTTTCTGTTGGGCCTTGTATGCCAACACATTCTCCCGAAATGGCCGGCAAAAATACAATGCCTGCAGCACAGAGTTACAGTAGCAAGTGTTCCCAAACTGCCAATGTAAAAGCAAAAATATCCTGAATCACTACAAGATACTGAAAACTAAATTACTTCATCATCCAGCCTGCACAATCAGCATCCCCAGTACAATATCCCATCAGCTATCACACAGCTGTTGACTGGAAATAGGTTCAGGACCATTTACTGATCGCCACGCAGCAAAAACAAAGTATAAATATTAAAAATTCTTAGACTAGGACTGAAAATAAAAGCACCAAATATAAGGTATTATTAAAAAGCTATTCATTGCAATGAGACTATTTTTGATAAGTGGAATGGCCCACTCCTGCTCCCACTGAAATCAATGGCAGAACTCCTAGAGACTGCACTAGGAACAGAACTTAAATCAGTTTAATTCAGGACATGAAAAACACGCTTTAGAATGGAGGCTTCCCTTCATCTGCTCTCCATCAGGTGATTAATGTTTTCTTGATGATAACACCTAATAAGCATATGCCAAATTTTAAACATGTAAATAGTTCAGTGCCATTGACTTCATGCAGCCTGATAAATATCCTCAAATGTTTGACTTGCCTGCAACCAACTTTCAATATGTGACCTAAAATTTCTCATGGAACAATATCAGCACCCTACCAAATCTTAGCCTTTAATCAATGTTTCTCTAGAGGGCATTGAAATTAAAGCAGCATCAAACCATAAAAGAATCTATATCACAATCGCTCAATATAAAATAACATATGATTCACCTCACAGAAACGGTACTTACATTGACCAACCCAAAGTAGTGTTCATTGATTGGAAACTGCTCTGGACCAATGTCTTTTTCCAGAGCAGAGGCATTGGTGCCCTGAAAGAGGGGGGAAAAGCCAATTATCCTCCAATTCAGATTCCAAAATAAAGTTATAAATAATCATTGGATAGAAGTAATTCCCCCTTTCACGGAAATAATTACTCAAGCTAAAACTGCTCTGAGGACTGGACAACTTGGGAGCTGCTTAGGCGAACAAAATATTTGCATTTCTAGGTAATGGCCTGGCAGACCTGATTCTGTAGTCTCAAATAAAGGTTGATTGGAGTTGAGCAGGACACCATATTGGTAGCCTTTCCACCTTAATTTCCCTTCACGAAGGAATTCATGCAGCTTTGGCAGCAGCAGAGGAAACAATGTTCATTAGTTGTATTCCAGTGGAGATAAGTAAATGAAAAGCAGGGTGCAGGATCAGTCCTTTCTGAGAAAGGAAGCTGAAACTGACAACCTCATAGTTCCCTTCTACCTTTATCTATTGCTCATTCTATCATCCAAGATCACAATCTGTCTCCCTGGTCTATATAATACGCCAATATTTTAGTCCGAGAAGAACCATTATGACTGCCTCATCTACTTGCATAGCACAGGCCATGGAATTTCACCAAGTGAAATTCTGCATCAAGCGCATAACTGCAGCATACCTTTAAGAAAGGCACACAGTCTGAATTTAAAGATTTCAAGTGATGGAGAATCTACTATATCACTAGGCAACCTTCTGCAACACTAGATTAAGCAGCCTTCAATATTAGATAAAAAGTCTTGTAATATCAGATACTTAAAGATTGTGATCCGTCACTTCTCAACCTTCTCATGATTAAACCAGTCTCACTATGACAGATTTTGTAATTATTCTAGTTTAACCCTTTCTAATTTTTCAACATCTTTTTGATAGTGTGGATACTAGAGCTAGACATAGTAAATCCAGCATGGTTTTATTAATTCCATATGACGTGATAATGCCACCTCTCGTTTTCTATTTGATAGTCCCATGTTTATAAATCCAAGGATGATATTTGCCCTCTGCACATCCTCAGATATCCACATCTGTGGATGAGGATATCTATGGCTCATTTTTGTGGATACAGTAAACTTCTGATAATCCGGCACCTTTGGGACCCAGGAGGTGCCGGATTATCAGATATGCCGGGCTATCAGAAGGGGGGGCTATGAGGGGTCTGGGATGGGGTGGGGGAAGATGCTACCCCAGATCCCTCATAGTCCCCCCTTCCGATAGTCTGGCTCTGCCCCAGGTGTCCCCAATTCAGCCGCTGCTGGTCAGTTTCAGCAGCGGCATAATCTGGGATGCCTGCGGCAGAGCAGCTGGGGTGCTGCTGGGTTGGTCCGGTCGCCCGCCCCTTGGGGCTGCGAGACCAACCCGGCAGCACCTCAGCTGCTCTTGGGGACGCCTGGAACAGAACAGCTGGGGTGCTCCCGGGTTGGTCTCGCAGCTGCTCTGCACCCGGCGTCCCCAAGTCAGCCGCTGCCGTAACATG